GCTTTGTTGAATCAAATAAACTATGTTTAGATCAAGTAGTTTGAACTAACTTAGCCTCAAATTAGTTTTAATTAATTTTTAACCAAAAGCTAATGTAAACTAATTCCCATGAAAGTCGATTTAAATTTGGTTTGAATCCAAATTAGTTCTAACGAATTTTTAATTTAAAATTATTTTTAATTAATGTTTTTCGAAACGAATTTAAATCACTCTAAATGTACAAATTCGTTTATATTAATTTGGTAGGATGTCAACTACGATAAACCCGAAAAAATTAATTCAGATTAATTTTAAACTGAAAATTGTGTTGAACTGAGTTCTTTCAGATTAGTGCAAATCGATTTATCACTAAATTGAGTTAAGGGGGTTTGGAAAAGCATTAATTCAAATTAATTTGAAGCTTTAGATTAGTATAGAATTTTGGCATTAACGCAAACTAATTCGAAATTCGTGTCAATTAATTTAATATGAGACTTTTTGTGGTGCGGTTACGAGCGAAATTAATTTGAATTAAGTTTTATGATTTGTTTTTATTAATATTAAATTATCTGATACATTATCAGATTCTGCAGTGACAATTGAATTAGATGATGAAAGGCGAACAATATCAACATCAACCATATCTGGAGAACAATATTTAAAACAACGTTTCTGTTTTTACTGTCAGCAGCCGAATCATATGGCTATTGATTGTTCAGCTAAAACGGCTCATTAATCCTTCTATCGCCATCAACAATAAAATTAGGAAAACGGATGCACGTACATGTGAATGAAGTAGCTACGTGTGTTCAGTTTCGAGAATCAAGACTCCTGAACCGTGATTCACTTACTTTTAATTCCGGTGAAAATTAGTCTCTTGTAGTCTACATGGTACGACTGAAAATGCCGTGCTCACGTACTTTTTAAGATAGATCCCAAATGAATGTTCGCCCTTTAACGCAACGAGTTCCTTAATACTGATAGAAGAAAACTAGCATAAAAAACTTTTATCCATTTTAAACAGCCTAAACTCCCGGTAGAAGGATATGCAAGTCGGGAGGCGAGTAAGCGTTCTAGAGATGAGAACATATTTGCATGTCTTGTCTGTTCAAGACAAGTGACACATAAAATACAGTTTTTTGTTAGCCTCTGAAGAAGAATTCGAAGCCGATCAGGTTAATAAAATATAAAGAAAACGAATTACTCATTGTTAATGTCTTATAACGGTTCAATCTCCAAAAATACATACTCTATATCAGTCAGAGTTTAATATGTAATTTTTCCTTTTCTGTTCTTCATACTATAATGGTGTCGTCTCAGTTCGTCCCAAATTGACTCCTCAATTCGTCCCACGAAGCTTTTTTTCTCAGCTCATCTCATAAACACTTCTCTCTCAATTCGTTCCAGGATCTTTTTTCTCAATTGATCGTAGATATCTATGCTCGCGTCGCAAAATAAATAAAGTGTTGTACCTACCACCGAACAGTTTAGACAGCGATGGTGGGTATTCTAGATAATACTAGATGCATGTATGTGGCAAAACAAATTTAAATATACGTAAGTTAAACTATCTTGTTCATCAAAATGTCAATATTTACGTCTACTGAAAAAGATAAACCAGTTCTGAACCATAATGGATACCAGTACACCAAAAAACGAGCAAGCAAAACAGATAATGAATGGCGATGTCGGCATCGAACATGTTCAAGCACAATATCATTATGTACAGACGATGTGACAATTTTACGGAATGAATCAACATACACATGTAAACCAGATACCGCCAAAGTCCTCGTTGATATTGCTGTTATTTATTATATATACATATTTACCACCGTACGCAAGAGGTACGGACAATTATATTGAAGCTAATTAAGTGTAAAGTAATATGGGACAAGAAATTAATTGGTACAGCAGTTGAAAATACATAATGAATGAGATAGTATCATACTGCTACGATAGTATCACTCAGCATCGTCAGGAGAACAAATAACAAAGAACACAGAAATATCTGTTCTCTTTCACGTTTCTCGTTTTTCATGTTTATATATATACATGTAGTTTCTGTGTTCTTTGTTATTCGTTCTCCTGATGATGCCGAGAAAAGCTTGAGATAGAATTACTGTGGATTTGAGTAAAATCTCATCGTGTACTTCGAGTTTCTGTTCGAAACAAAATATTCATTTATTCTATGTCCAAGAGAGGTTATGTTCTCTGGCTGTCTAAAAGAAGCCTTCAACTGAAAAAGAAAGAATGGATAATTCAACGAAAATTACTGTCCAGTTATTCAGTAGCTATGATTCTCTTTGATGAATTACTCAAAGCAAATAAGAGCTCCAGGAGGCTACAGTTTTTGGTCGAGCAGACATATTTTTCTTCCCTTTCCAACAGTAGTCGAAGGCACTTGATATTCTTTTTAAGTAGTAGTGGAAACTAAAAGCTGAGTATATTTTACCTTATTCTTGCAGATCTGGACAAAAAACTCGCGATGCAGAAAATACCTACGGTCACTTCTTTCTCGATCGAATATACACACCTGGCTGATAAAGGAAAGATTTTATTGAATTTAAATAAATTTGATAGTGGAAATTAGTTTAAATTAATTTATTTCAAATGAATCCGAAATATTCTTACCCTTTAAATTAATTCATATTAATTTTGAGCGTTGAAATTGCTGTAAAATAAATTATTTTAAACGTATCTAAGTTTACATTAATTTCGACTCTCAAAATTAATTAAAACTAATTTATATTATCAAAATTATTCCAGATCTATTATAAAAACATTTATTTAAATGAATTTGTGAGTAGAAATCAATCTGAAGCAATTTAAAGCACGAAATTATTTCAAACTCATTCAAACCGCGATTGATTGACGGTTTGTAGCGAACCGCGGTCAATTGGAGATTATTCGACGAACTACGGTTAACCGATGGTTTTCTGTAAAAAAAAGGCGACATGGTTTCGTTTTATTTTTGAAACAGGATACTTGGGCCTAGTGATTCTTGCTCTAGTCTTTTTCATTTTCTGCTTTGATTATGTTTTGAGCCATGCACGAAGTCAAAACCCTCTGTGATAATGTAAAATTATATGAAAAAACGGTGAAACTTTAATAATAAAAAAGTTTGTCCTGTTCGACTAAGACTGTTTTTGAGAAGAGGTCAGCAAGAGCTACTAGCCACTAGTGACTTCTTTCAAATCAAGCAAAAATTGTCTTTATCTCATAGGGTAGTCAAACGGCATGGGCGCCACGTAAGTGACTAGACATTTTGAGAAAACCACAGAACTACTAAATTTGCACAGATACTCTCCTGCTCGATCTTTATAAAAAGGTTGAACCTGATTTTAATTTATAGTTCGTATCGCGCGACTTTCCTTCTTTTCTGATTGCAGTTAGAAATATAACTATGATGCCCAGCTAACACTTACCATTTCTGTTTTACGAGGGAAGGCCACCAAGTGTTCCCTCGTTTTTGAGCTGAGACTCAGTTGACTGGAGATAATCGAGCATGCTGATTCCGAATTTCATAATAGTTTGGGCTAATTTTGACTTTAAAGCCCCGGTTTTTGAAGATCTTGGTTTTCAAGCCGAAAAACCATTTGCGCTAAAAAAAATTTTTGATCCGTCCAATTGATAGAGTACGTCGCGAAACCTACAGAAAACCATTTTTCAAGGTTTCATGGGAGGTTCTGAGTGAGTTTTCTACGTCAAAAACTTTAAAAAGAGAGGAAAAACCGGCTTTTTTACGTAGTGTGGTGCCAAAATTGCTCAGAACCTCCCATGAAACCTTGAAAAGTGGTTTTGTGTAGGTTTCGCGACGTACTCTATCAACTGGACGGATCAAAAAAATTTTTTAGCGCAAATGGTTTTTCGGCTTGAAAAACCAAGATCTTCGAAAACCGGGGCTTTAAAGTCAAAATTAGCCCAAACTTGGTGGCCTTCCCTCGTTAGTCTATGTAATGTTTTTCCTTGTTTCATAAATCTCATATTATGGTACCTGGACAAACAAGAAATAAGTTAAGAACAAAAAAGAAATTTATTTAGTTGCTTTTTTATCTCTTATGTTTCATAAAAAAAGGTAGAATTTTGAGTCATTTTGTTTGACTAGTAAGTAAAATTGATGTAACACAAAATTGCTATTTTCTTTTGTGTTTTTACTTGTCTTTACATCTTCAGAAAGATGTAACATTACGGAATCAGCCCAAAAAAGGTAGTTAGCTCGATAGTCGAGGTATACATCAACGCATTTTTCGTAAAATTAGGTTAATGGAAAAACAATGACTAAAGAAAACCACGTACTGATGGGTCCTTTTTGCGACGGATGAATGCTCTAAGGTTTGAGACATCATCCAAAATAAAGAACTGGTCTATATTTTTATTGTAATGACGTTCGTTTCAAAGAGTGCAATTTTTCATTTTATCTGCGACATGAGAAAAAATCAAAGTATGCGAGGTGTTAGGCTGCCATCTTTTACAAAATTTTACGCTTGTAGAGGTGATACTTGTTTCAGCACTTGTAATGCTACGATTACTTTCTTTCACTACCACATTTCTTTTGTTATTATTACCATCTACTATTACGATGACGACCACTAATAACTTTTTAACACAAGAAGCACTAAGTTGGTGTTAGGTCCGGTATACGTTGTTGTGTATATGTAGTTTATTTAGTAACTGAATAAGATCATCTTTACATAAAATTAGGAGCTATTTATATCTGAGGTTAAACGGAAACGGTGGGTTATCACCCAGAGCTAAAAGAACACATTGGAATATCTCTTGAAGAAAAGAAACAGTACAGAACGAAACCAAGAGATATTACTGGGAAATTCCCTGACAGAAAGAAAGAGAACAATGCAGATACATATATGACAAGAAGAGAAAATACCCATAGAAGAAGAATAGAGAACGAATATACATATGACTATTATATAATTGTCTCTTATGGCATGTACGTGCCATAACAGTTGGGCTGATATAACAGCTACAAGATTAGTTAATTGTTGTTACAATGAATCATCTGGATTATGGATCAATGAATTAGCATGGCAATCTGGTAATACATTAGAAACATTAGCTAACTTTGTATCTCTGCTGAATTCATCCTTAAGATATGTCTTTTATCAAACATTTATAAAAACAGATATGTTTGTTGGTGGTGTTTGTTATGATGATTATCAATGGTGGTTACTAGGCTGGATACAAGCATACAATGCTGATCCAAATATAAATTATTTATATCGTGCTGCAGATATCTATGATATTGTTGCAGAAAAAGCATGGAATACAACGACATGTGATGGTGGTATTCAGTGGTGTCCAACAAATCTGTATAAAAACGCAATCACTAATGAATTATTTTTACTGAGCAGTATGCGTTTATATCCTTATGCTATACTTCTCGGTAAACCATCAACATATTATCTTGATTGGGCTCTAAAAGAATGGCAATGGTTTGAAAATAGTGGGATGATTAAAAGTGATTATATGATTAATGATGGATTAAAATCTGCCTAGGCAAAATTAAAATTTAATTATGACCAGGCAGATTTTAAATTTGACTAGGCAGAATTAAAATTCTAATTATGACTAGGCAAATGTAAAATTTGACTGAAAGATCTCTAGATAAAATTGAAATTCTAACTCTGACTAAATATAAGTAGGCAAAATTATAGTTCGACATTATTTTCATGGAATGTTGGGTTTAATCTTAACTGGCATTGTGCGTCTAAGACATTCTAACATAAAGTGAACAATAATATGTTTCTACTCCCTTCGATGATTTTTCCCGTATTAGGGGTTAAACCCAATGACAATGAAAAGTAGATCTATCGAATAAATTTAACACGAGACTTTTTTTTCTCACGTTTGTATAAAAGGCAGAAAGGTCGAATAATGTTTTTGTTTTTGTGCTAGTAAGGTGCTTTGTTTCTTTTTTATTCTATACATTGTATAGATGATAGTCAGACCTTCTAGAATGACATAAAATTCTGTATATAAGCTAGAGAGAATGTACATGTTAGGTAATTTCAACGTTTCACATCATCTTTTAATAAAAATGTCTATCACTACTTGTTCTACTGCTACTTCTTCTTCGTCTTCGGATTCTCTCGTTGGTACTGCTGATAAACTTTTCTACAACGAGCTCAATGAAGTTTTGAATTCATTCAATAGCAAATTTCGAGAAAAAGCTGTCATCAAAAAAGAAACTTATGATAATATGTTAAAAGCATTAATCTTGGAAAAAGGTAAGAGTTTAGCTAGTATAAGTTCTCAGTTCATATTTTGGGCTAAAAAGAATTTTGTGTTAGTTAAATATGCTGGCGTCGATTTGATTTGTTGTTCAAAAACAAAAAAACCTATCTGTGTTTTTGAAAGTCTGTACAATATTCTGCATGAAACCCATGAAAACATATCTCATGGTGGCAGAGACAAAATGTTGGGAGAGCTGCTGTCTAACTATTCGTGGATTCCACGCAAATCGATCGAAATATTCTTGAAACTGTGTGCAATGTCAAGTCAGAAAACCAATCAAGCAGCATGTTGTGTCCAAACCTATTGTTTCTCTAGGAGTTATGACTCGCTTACAAATTGATTTGATTGATATGAGAACGAGACCTGATGTCGTATCGAGTGAGACAGTGTATTTGTGGATATTGAATTGCATCGATCATTTTTCAAAGTTTTCATGGGCTTTTCCTTTGTTAAACAAGTCGGCAAATGAAGTTGCTCTACGTTTGAAAGGATTGTTCTACGTTTGAAAGGATTGTTCTACGTTTTCGGACCGCCACGTTTACTGCATTCAGACAATGGAAGAGAGTTTGTTGCTAGTGTAATTGATGGATTGAAAGTTTTATTTCCATCTATGTGTTTCGTTCGAGGACGACCTCGTCATCCACAATCTCAAGGATGTGTTGAAAGAGCGA